TCTTCAAAAAGATTAAGCTATGATTTGGCATTAGAATGAAAAGTTAGTTTGTAAGCACAGAAATGAAGCAGCTGATACTAGCAAAGCAAATACTTGATGTTAGAGAAATAATAGCAACTTTACTTTTTCTTATAAAGGAAAAACTAAGTGCTTCACCGGACTTTAGACAAGAAGATACTTGCAAGTAGACAGAACCATTTTGTTACTAAGAAGGAACATGATTACCTATCAGCAGCCAAACAATGCAAATGAAAGCAGCATAAACTGACAATGCCTACAATAAACAAAAAAATTTCAAGGAATATGAGGCTGATTTGACAAATTCATGCGTTATTAAGGCCAGTATCAATTTTTCAGAAACTTCCTACTAATACTGAACAACAACTACATACCTTTCAGCAATGTGTAACTTAAGGAAGAACAAAGCTGATGTTAGTCAATAAGAAATACAAAATCCTAACGTTCTTTTATATGCCTCAAAATATACATTAATGCTAAAAGTTCTAAAGAAATTGACATAAGAGAATGAGTTAGAAATTAGCATATCATTGCAACACTACTGTAAATGCCTATGGCCAAAAGTTGCTGCCATATTAATTTTTAAACTACAAAATGATTTCTCAAAGATGTTATTGTATGTATTTGTTAAAACAGAGGAGAGGGTAGATGATGGAAGGGTAGCTAAATGTGATTTGAATGTTGAAGAGCCCTATATAAACTGCCAAGCATGTTAGTTATTTCCCGATGCATTGAGACTGTGGCCGATTAGCTCACTCGGCTAGAGTGTGGTGCTGGTAACACCAAGGTCAAAAACAAAACAAAAGATTATAAAATGAGTATTAGAGCTTGGAAGAAAATCCTAAGCAAAGGGGCTTGGAAGAAAATCCTAAGCAAAGGGGCTTGAAGAAAATCACCCTCCCTCTCGCTAGTAGAGAGAATGTTGTGTAGGAAAACAAGGACATTGACAATTCAAGAAAGTGTTTCAAAAGATTCAGACTATGAATGTGAAGTCTTAAAAATACCTTAACCAATTTATTTCACTTTTAATTTCTTTAGGTGTACACAAAAATAATATGAGAAAAATCTTTGTCTAAATTAATCTAAAAAAGTTTTTCCAGTAAACATAAAATGGATTGTATGTGACAAAGCACAGTATCTTGCTTACCTGGCAGCACTTTTCTATATGGCATACAATGGTGTATCTTATAGCCCATGAAATACAGTCAACTCATGTCTTGAGTTTTACATCTACCACCTTCTTTAGGACTTTCTATATATCCTGCCTCTTTAATATGTATTTCCTCTCCTTTCCTGCCTTTTTTAATTTGTTTTTT